TTCCCATTTAGTGAAACATTCAGGCCCCATAGAGCTTTGGATCATTCTTGAGAACACTCTTTGGATCACATGGTCCGGCATATCCCATCTTCTTAATATCAATTCAGCTATTAATGTCATATATACAGCACAAGGGGAAGATGGTAGGAGATCCACGTCCCTGAGAGCCAGTCCCTATCTTGTTATTAATGGGAAAGGGGAATACTGGAAAGCTGTTATATGACTAGCATAGAAATGGTTGCAAATCTGTATTTATGTTCTTACATAATAGCTTTTATTGTGACTGCAAAAGTCAAAGATTAATTTCTCTTAAAGTATTGCATACTGCATGACGATCTTACAGTCTTACTGTTTATAGCTAAATTATATTGTTCTTACTGGCTGATATTGCATGTAATGAATTCCTGCTTTAAGCAAATTCAGGTTAAAATAAATCTTTGGAATTCCTGAACTATCCAGTTCCTTCTATACCATTTGACCCAATAGAACTTCCATGATTGGACAAGAGACTGATTTATCTAATGGGATAGGATAAAGTATGGATTTGCTGAATTCAGCATTGACTGTTACTTCAGGCAATATGTTCCAATGAACTTTACATAACCCCTTGATACCAACAAAGGAATTAGTTGTAAAATTTCCCAATTGGCTTCCTACTTTCATGTTCAGCCAGTGATAACACTGAAGAAGCTGAAGTACTAAGAAATCACTTTTTAGAAATTAAACCCTGGGATCAGTTTGAGCACTCCTTGGGGGAATGTGTTTCATTGCAGTAATGATTAATAGAGCCTCTTAAGTGACAGAATATTCACCAGGAAGTTTTCACTAAATGAAATATTGACTCAGCCGTCACCAGGAGAAACCCAGCTGGAAAAACTAGTGCTAGGATCCCATGGCTCTAAGAAACTATACTTTCCAGCATTCTTCAACTTGATATGATACCTATCCAATATATCATTGTTCAGCACTGTCTCTAATAACTGTGCAGTGCGCATTCAGGGCTGTAACTTTAGTGATTACATCTAGCACTTTTGCGCTTGAGTAAAGTAAAAAAGGGTGGGGTTTTCTGTTGTTCTGTTATCAGTTGCCATTCTAGCTGTAATCACCTTTACAGAATTAAACATCATGAGCCAGCAGACATTAAATAACATACAGTGGAGTTCCATTGAACAGACATCAGTAGTAGTCTTAGTAGACCTGCTTAGGATTGCCTTTGTAGTCTCACTGACTTTAGCCAGTCAAAATATATGAGATGTATAAGTATAGTGTTGGCTACACTGTGCCTAAACTTGGAATTCACAATGTAATGTGGCATTTTTGGGTTAAATTTAGGTAGGCCGAGAAATAAATAGGACTTCCATGTGAGTGGGGGATTTTGCCTGTATATTTGCCCTTCCCCGCTCATGAAATGATGTGTGCCAGAATGGAATCACCGTTGTGCACAAAGGGCTGCTACACATGCAAGGACTTCTCCATTTTATTTCCATACCTGCTCAACATGTGAACACATTTCCACTGCATGATCACAGCCAATCCAGGGTTGAAATGAAATTTCCGCTCCCACTCCCCGGTCATGTGCTGGGCTCCACTGCGCATGACCAAGGGAGGGGCTCAACAATCCCGCCAGTTCTCTTCTGACTGCAGCGCTGGTAGGACTCTCTCCGCCTCGGTCGGTAAAACTATACTTTTTAGGGCCTTTTGGCCTTGTTTAATTCTAGTTAGTTAGGAAAGTTTTTTCAGTTAGATAGTGTTTGTTGGACTTTATTTTTCTACCACCCCTTCCCTCGGCCTATGGCTGTGCGGTGGGGTTTCTTTAAACGGTGCTTGGAGTGCGGCAGTAAGATCGCCCCCCCCCAGACGGACATTCTCTTCACCTTCTATGCTTGGGGGAATCGCACCGAGTTGACTCTTGCGCCCATTGCTCCAAGTTCTCCAAGCATACCAGGAAAAACCGGGCTGCTAGACTGCAAGTGGCGCTGATGGAAGTCTCACTCTCTCCAGTGGCGCCATCATCTCAGGAGACATCCGGACATGCATCGTTGTAAACCTAACCTTGACCGTCCTGACGGCCTTAGACATCAAGGTAAATCTAAAAAAGTCAGTGCTACTTCCCACCAAAAGGGTGCAGTTTATAGGAGCTATCCTAGACTCTGTCGTTTGCAAGGCTTTTCTCCCTCCTCAGAGAGCAGGGGGCATTGTCGATCTAGTGACTCTATTCCGGAAGTCTGGACATGCTACGGCGAAGCAAATCCAGCGGCTGCTGGGTCTGATGGCTGCCACCATCAACATCATTGTTTTTGCCAGACTGCACATGAGACCTCTGCAGCTATGGTTCGTACGCAGATTTCGCCCACAGAGTCATCCTCAATCCCTTTGTCTTGTCTTCCCACCATCCATTTTGGGCTCTCTGCTTTAGTGGACAGATCCTGTGAATCTCCTAGCAGGAGCCCCATTCCATCCACCCACGTCAACACTCACACTGGCTATAGATGCGTCCCCCTGGGGATGGGGCGCACATCTCAAGGGTCTTTGTGTAGGGGCTCGATGGGAGTCCCATGTAGCACACAATCATATCAATTTCCTGGAACTCCTGGCAGTGCTGTACGCACTCAGGTCTTTCCGACACCTAGTGACCAAGCAAATGGTTACAGTTCTGACAGACAACACCACAGCCCTGTGTTATATCACCAGACAGGGAGCTACAATCTCCCAGGGGCTATGTCGCCTAGCCATAGAACTATGGGTCGAGTGTCAATCATGGAACACGTTCCTAAGGGCCGCTCATCTGCCAGGAACACTAAATGTCCAAGCAGACTTCTTGAGCAGAGGAGGGGCAACGGAGCACGAGTGGCAGCTCAATTGGATTTATCTTCACCCAATCTTTTGCCTTTGGGGCCATCCAGAGGTGGATGTGTTTGCAATACGCAGCAACAGAAAATGTCGCCTGTTCTGCTCCAGAGCGGGGATAGATCCCCTATCTCTGGGAGATGGTCTTATAGTCCCGTGGGCACGTCTTCACCTGTTCCTCTTTCCTCCAATTCCTCTAATACCCAGGGTATTAATCTACCTAATGCAGGAGAAACCACGCTGTCTCTTAGTGACACCATTGGTTCTCCACTCTGCTCCACCTGTCCAAGGGCTCCTTCGTTCACCTTCCCCCAGCTGCAGACCTCCTTCTCACAGAGAAGTGTTGGATTCTGCTTCACAATGTGAAGCGTCTCAAGCTCACGATCTGGAGGATCCTTTTTGATCGGTCAGAGACAGAATAGATCATGTCCTATTGAATTGTCGCAGACCATCTACCCGAGTTTCTTACGCTGGGAAGTGGAAGAAATTCTTGTCTTACCTTGTCTCGTTGGGATTGCCGCCACCACCACCTGACCCGATGGCAATCTTTGGGTTCTTATTGTCTTGTTTAGACCTAGGACTCAGTTGTGCCTTGCTGAAGGTCTGTTTAGCTGCAATTTTGGCCAATCATTCAATGATTGACGGACACTCTGTCTTCTCTCACCCCCCAGACCAAGAAGTTTCTTAAAGGTCTGACCCACCTCTTCCCTCCATCACATGGACCCACGCTAGCATGGGATCTACCCAGGTGCTTGCAAGGCTCATGGGAAAAAAACATTTGAACCGATGGCTACTTGTAGTGGAAGACAGCCTTTTTAGTCACGGTTACCTCCACCAGGAGGATGGGCGAGTTATCGGCACTCCACTGTGACCCACCTTATTTGAGTTTTCATCATAATGGTGTCACGTTGGCTCCAGATGTTTCTTTCCTGCCGACAGTTGTTTCTGAGTTTCACCTGGAAGCGGACATTGTTCTTCCAGTGTTCTTTCTGTCTTCTTCAATGGAGGAAGAACACCGTTTTCATTCGTTGGATGTCAAAAGAGCTTTACTCTTTTACCTAAATTGAACAAGACCTTTTCAGAAATCTCCAGCCTTGTTTGTTTCTTATGTTCTACTCTCTCAAGGGAAGAAGCTGTCATCCCAACGTCTAGCCAAGTGAATTGTGGAGACTATTAAATTGTGCTATATGGTAGCCAAGAAGTCACTCTCGGGTCCGCTACGGGCACACTCTACCCGGGCAGTGGCAGCATCCACAGCCTTCCTGCGAGGTGTGTCGTTGGAAGATATCTGCAATGCAGCTACTTGGACCATGCCTAACATGTTTGTGAGGCATTATGCTCTCGATGTTCGTCTTCATCAGCATTCAATTGTGGGACAAACGGTGTTGCAGGCAGTGCAGATTTAGGACCTCAGTTCCCTCCTCCAGGTAGGTGGGCATTGCTTGTCAGTCTCCCAGAGGTGTGATGTACAGAGACCAGGAAGAAGATAAACAGGTTGCTTACCTGTAACTGAGGATCTTCGAGCGGTCATCTGTGCATTCACACCACCCGCCCTCCTTCCCCTCTGCTTTTGGTCCTTCCTTGCTTTCTTTGGAGACTGAGGGCAGCGGTCAGAAGGAACTGGTGGGATTGTCGTGCCCCTCCCTTGGTCGTATGCAGTGGAGCCCAGCACATGACCGGGGAGTGGGCGCGAAAATTCCTTTTGCTTTCCATTATACCGATCAGGGTCGGCACAGGCGCACTATATCCCAGAGGTGTGAATGCACAGATGACCACTCGAAGATCCTCAGTTACAGGTAAGCAACCTGTTTTTATTTGTTCATATTTTCCATGTTCACAAGCAAACAAAATGAAAAATAGATAAATGTTCAGGCTGCAGTCCAGAATACTGTGAGCACTCAGTGCATCCATTGCTTGGCTAGAAGCAGAAAAGCAAGTTCATAAGCTCTTTTCTTCTTTGTAGCCAGCAAATGGGGGAAAGACCTGGTTGCACATGTGTATTGAATCTGTAGCTTTCTGCACACCTTATGCTTAGAAAAACAACATATGTTCAGTCTCCACACAAAGGTCATTCTATTTATAAAGCAGGAATCTCCAGAGTTTGTAATAAGAACTAACTACTATAGCACTAACATTTTCTCTCTTTTCTAAAGGTGTTCCTTGCTTAACATGCTGCCCAATCTGAAAACACTTAATGGTGAAAACATACATTCCAATGCAGACATCCTAGGTGAAACAATAAAAAAGAAGCCAGATCCGGAAAGTTTTGTAGCATTTTGTCAAACTCAGATTAAGGAAATTAGCTCAGTCTGCAAAAAAGCCACAACTAGCCTAACGTAAGTATTTTAAATGTATTTTTTTTCAGAATATATATATTTTTGACCATTTGTTTTTCTATGTTTTTCATTTTTTAAAATTCCCTGTTACTGCAAGAAGATTAGGGTGGAAATTTTAAAAATATCATTTTTTTTTTGTAATGTCTTGACCTAATCGCCTTAAAACTTATTGAAGAATCTCATGGAATCTCAACACTTACCTGGATACAGGTGGAGAAAAATCACTTGCATGATATTTGCACTTAAGCAACTATTTGACCAAATTCAATTTTGTAGCATTTTTTTAAAATTTGTAAAACAAAATTCAGAGGGCAACAGAGCTATTGAATCTATATCTACTTTCTATGAACTTCCGGTAGGTGACATACAGCTTGATCCTATGGATATTTACTTAGAAGTAAGCCCACACTGAGTTCAGTGGGCCTTGTACCCAAGTAAGTATCCGTAGAATTGTATCCTTAACTGCAACATTGCTAAGAGCAGTATAAACCTGAGCAAGCTCCTTGTCTGTTTGACATCTCACTAAGTTATGAGGCCCTGTAGATATGACCTCAAGTATGTAAGCTGCCAAAGGTAGTCACTAGTAGGTTTCCTAATCCATGTTTCATACACCATTGCCTGCTTAGTTAAATTGCCTGTGTTTTTCCTGCTTTCAAATCCACGTTGCATACCATGTTTAAGAATTATGTGCTTTTAAAAAAAAATTAATTACTCTGTTCTAGTAAATGTCTGTCAGTTAATCTTTTGACACTTAGTTATAAGTAGCTGTGTTAAAATGCACTTCCGTTTCAGTGTTTTTGCTTTCAACAGGCTTTTGTACAGATGCCTGGAAATAAAAGACACTAATGGAAGTTGAACCCCTTTTAAATAGTCATAGTTTAAACAGATGAAAATGACATAAAAGCTTATAAAAGGAAATATAAATGAAGAAATATAAACAATAAACCTCTTTATGGCATTTAAAGGCCTTTTGCAACACAAGAATGGAATAATAGTGATATTAATGCAGAGATCTACTTATATAGAATGACATAATACTGTTATAATATTTACTTGTCACAGCTTTTACCTTCAGGGTGTTTTTTAATATAGTCTTATTTTTTAGAAAAAGAAAGCATTATTCTAAAATATTATTGTCTGTGGCTCATTTAGCACAGAAGTTATCAGTCTTCAAGATGGAAAATGCAGTTTAGTAAAACACCATTTAACTTTATCATTACCCTTCCCATTTAACACACAGACATATGGAAATTGAATAAAATAATTAAGGATCAAGCATCATCTAACTGAAACCTAATAATATTTTATCTTTGTTCATGTAAAAGAATTATATTGCATTATCTTCAATCTACGATGACATCAAACAATACAGTATAATCTCAGATTTACACTTAGTGGGTGTTGCAGACCATTGAGATTAGTATTTCACATGACAAAATTTCCTGAAATCTATTTGCAGCCCCTGCAGCTGTAACATGAGGAGAAATGTTAAAAATATAATTATAATTGATCCTGTAATTCAAGAGTAGCTCTTGAGTGAGACTGTTTTTGTTTGTGTATAACAAATGATGATTGTGTTACCCAAAGAGGCAGTCGCCAATCAGTTGGGGGGAATTAGCATAGGAGATTGCGCAAGAGGAGGGGCAACTGTGATCGGTACACCTATGTATACAGGGATTGTCTCTATGAAAACTATCAGAAAGAGCCAGGCTGTTATTTACGGGAAAGGGTTTTATTGGAACAAAAAGAAAACAATAAAACCAGGGTGCACACAGCAAACACATACAAGAGCTAACTAGGGGAATCAGGGAGGAAATGGGAAAGCATTGTAGTGATGGGTAATAATTACCAGTCTTGAAGAGATCTGCGGAAGCATCAAGTTGAAGAGGAAATGGCCAGCATTTTGGAAAGCAAGAGAGAGGACCCACACACAAGTGGGGGTGTCAGGGGGATCCAAGAACACACACACACTACTGGGGCAGCAGGGTGGCACATTTATATGGAAAACATAACTAGGGATGTGCATTCAGCTTTGCCGAATTGAAAAAATACCTGGGGAGGCTGATCCTGGGAGGGAAGGATTCCCCAGGTGCCCCACAGCTGCAAGGTGCCTAAGAAAGCCGATCTCTGGAGGGAAGGAAATTTCAACTTCCTTCCCTCTGCTTCCCCAGGCACCCTGCAGCTGTGGAAAACCTGGGGAAGTTAATCCTGGGAGGGAAGGCAGTGCCCTTATACTCTACTAGCCTGTTACCTGTGCTTCGCTATGATAAATCTAGCTATAATACTGATGATGTGAAGTTTGGAATGTAACATTTGTTGTAGGAATTCTAATGAAGATTGTAGTGTAAAAATTGAAGTGAGACATAGGTACTGGGTTTTTTTTTTTTCTACTGAAGGACCTCTCTGTAGACCACATTGGTGGTTCTGCCCTCAGGTGCTAGGATCACTAAGCTGCTTGGTGAGCTCACTCTGGAGCAGGCCACATAGAACTGTCGATGTGAGAAGCAGTCGTCTGTTAATTCCTGCCACCTTCAGTGTCTGGCCTTGGGACTTGTTGATGGTCATAGCAAAACAGACCTTGAGGGGGAACTGCAGCCTCTTGAACTCAAAGGAGTTTTCTGATGGTATGAGTGGTATGCGTGGTATGAACACCGACTCTCCCTGAGCACTGCCAATGAGCAGTGTGGCTTCAATGATGTTCCTGTGCAGGGCCTTCGCTTGCAGTCTGGTGCCACTGCAGTGTTTGGGTGAGTTGAGGTTCCACAGGAGCCCTCACTTTGAGGAAAAGCTTCTGGGCTGGGAAGCCAGGAGGGTTGAGGTGTAGGAGAGGTAGCATGCCTGAAGGCATTTGGGAGGCTGGGCCAGCAGGATTGCTAAGACAATGCTGCTTGGGCAGCCTCCCTAATGGCTTTCAACGCTCCTGCGCCTGACAAACAACCACATGTTACGTGGAGGAGGGGTAGGTAGGATTATTGGGGAGGCTGGCCCAGCAGCATTGCTAAGGTGTTTCTACTCTGGCAGCCTCCCTAATGGATTAAAGTGCCCTGCTCCTGACAGACGCCCACCTGTCAGATGTTGGGGGAGTGTGTTTAAAGGCATCAGGGAGGCTGGGTCAGCAGCACTGCTAAGGCAGTCCTGCTGAGCAAGTCTCCCTGACGACTGTAAGCATCCCACCCCCTCTCTTACATGTAACAGTCAGCTGCCTGTCCAGTGTAGGAGGGGGTGGGGTATTGTAAGCCATTGTGGAGGCTGAGCCAGCAGGATTGCTAAGGTGTTACTGCTGGGGCAAGCTCCCTGATGGCTTTAAACACCCTGCACCCGCTGCTGCACCTGACAGACAGCTGCCTGTCAGGTGTAGGAGGTGGGGGAAGCGTGTTTGAAGCCATCAGGGAGGCTGGGCCAGCAGCATTGCTGCATCTCACAGATGGTTGGCCATTCCTGATTTCCTCAACTGTCATTAGTTCTCTGTAGTCTCCTGTAACTGTTCTTTTTTGCCTCAGAACACTGAGCTCTGCAGCTGACCAATCAGAGAGTAGGGGTGCAAGGAGGCAGCAGCCTGGCAGCCACATAGGAAGCAATGGGGGCACATTTGACCTCTTTTGACCCCTTAGGGGGGATCAAATTTCTAAAAATCCCTCCTTAGTGAGCATCTACATCATGGTAGAAGTGTTCTCCTCAACTTTCGTGTTTCTAGGTCCAGAGGTTTGGCCTGGGCATTGATTTTATGGTGTGGGGACTTTCTTTTATGTATATAGATGGGGACTTTCCCCTTAGGGTATAGTATTCGGCGGTACTGATTTTTCCCAAACACCAATATATTATTGATATTGGGATTCAGGAATATTGGTATATACTGATATTTTTCGGGCTTGGTTTACCCTGCACACCCCTAAAAATAACTTTAGGCGGGTTGACTCACTGCCAGAGGACAATGAGCTGATCCTTCAATTGGAGGTAGACAAAGAGGTGGGAGAGGCTTGTTGGCCCTACAAACACCAGACAGCAAGGATAGTTTGGGAGGTGAATAGGCTTAAGCGTTGTTTGAGCGGCGCTTAAAGATAATGGATGAAGGGGAAAGCGGGCTTGGGTGTTGATGAGACTATTCCTGAGCTTATCAATAGATCCTGGGTGACCTATTGTTCTGAGCCATGCATGTCTCCAGGGTGAGAAGGGGGACGTAACTAGCCATCCCTTTACTCATACCTTGAAACTGATTTCCCAGGCCGCTGGCTGACTGGCATCCATTTTGGCCCAAGCAGTGCCCTACATTTACGGTTTTAGAGCAATGTTATAATGCATTCCATGATATAATCAGAAATTAATGTGACAGTAGTCAGGTAAGAAAATGTACTTCAAAATTGTATGTTCGTACAAATACATTTTAACCATAAGCACTTGACCTCTTTCTTCCTGTATAATGCCTGTATACATACCTGTGTATATGAAATATGTGACCTAATGTTAGAGATAGAACTAGTACTGGAACAGATTGGTCCAGTAAAACAGATCTGTTTGTAACTTGTAGCTGGATTTCCAGCCCTTCTCACCTATCACTATGTGGTCACCCATTCAGATTGAGCCTCCAGAGATGGGGTACTTGGCAGAGTTCTGAAATGAGACATATTAGCCACATGGCATGGATTTTGCTTTCCCCTTCAGAGTTAGTGCTAAGTGCTCCCTCAGTGGTGCTAAGGGACCTCTCTATGCCTCTCCTGCCACCAAAGTGCAACGTTGTGCACTCTAAATGTGCATGGCGGAGACCTCTGTGACAGAGTCTGTGAGCCCTGCCTATTGAACCATGTGGTGTCCTGCTGTGGTTTATGTAGTACTGGGGGTGGGGCTGTGTTTGGGTGTTATCAGTCGCATAAGCACCTTGCTTTGTGGCTGCATTGCTTCAGTTCACCATAGGCTAGCAAGCTGAGTTGTGTCTATGAATGACTTCCTCCCTGTACAGATTCTTACGCAGCAAGGTTTGGTATATGGATATACTTTGCATAGATTGTATCATGAAAGTGTATGTCAAACGTTAATGGTATTTTTTTTCTGAATATGTGGTTGAATAATAAAATTAATACAAATTGTAAAATCTCTCAGTCTAAAATTAATAAATACTTTTCAATATTTCCCCCCAGAGGTGAATTCTGTATGGATGCTGTGCAGCGCCAGTGTTGGTATTTTAAGAAGCTGATGAAGTTCAGTAGTGAACATCGTTATGCACATGAGTATGGTGTTCTGTACAGTACTGAAGAAGAGGAACCAGAAAAGCAGACAAATAATATGAACCAAGAAACCATTAACGTCACAGAGAAAAATAGCTTCTTTGTCACTGGTGCAAAAGAAAATAAGCAGAACTTGTTGAACATGCCTGAAAGATCAATTGCTTCTGGCTACACTCAGCCTATGTCTGTTAACTCTTTCACGGCAGTCCGTGCAATGGGAAGGAATCAAGAATGCAGGCAAAAGAAGAAGAATATTCATTATTCCCTTAACCACAATGGGGAAAGCAAAGATAATAGTGTATTAATCAGTCCTGAGAGAAACAAGTTTAACAAGCAAATCATGGCAAGTAATGGAGGAAATTATCTTCAACGTTTTGACAGTTCTCAAAAGTAAGAACCAATGGTCAAACCACTTTATTATGGAAACATAACATTATTACAGTATAATCTCAATAAAGAAAGGGACATCACTGGAGGCACTTACAGATGGTTTTCAGAAATATTCATAATCCAATAGGCTATCAAACTAAATTTACTCTTTATTTCTATTTTCTTTTTTAACTCAAAGTTAATAGATAACACAGCTCCAATTGCTCCACTAGCCAGTTTACAGATAGGTATGTCTATTTTATCAACACAATATTATGATCTGCAGGCACAGAGGAGGACCCTGAATTAGATTGGCATGTATAGATTCCTTGGTTTTACGTTGGAAACATACTTATCTTGCTGTGTGTTATGTCATTGCACAAAGCTGGATAAGTACCAGAGCAACCTAAGCAGAGTTACACCCTTCTAAGAGCACTGATTTCAGTAGACTTAGAAGGGTGTAAAGGTTCTTAGGCTGTAAATGATGGCATGTGTCAGTACTGAAGATAGCACATATGAATGTTATCCTGTTTCAGAAACTATAGCAGTAGATGCATATGCACAAACATTGTGCCTGACATTATGACCTTACCCAACATGCAGAAGAATGATGGATTTTTGCTACATCCTCATCTCAGAACACATATAGCTATACTGCATGTTATTAGATAACAGATATGCATATCTGTAAGATCAAGTTGCTTGTGGATTGAAAGTCTGAACTTGGAGCCACCCTCAGAACCATGTTCCTCTTTGTTCCTCCTCAAACTGTCTCAACTTCTGACTCAGTTCACTTCAAATCAACCACCCTCATTGCTTACATTTATATTCTACTTTATGCCAGAGGGTCAAATTGAGTAACATTTTAAAAAGTGTGGTAAGGTAAATGCTTATATATTCTGCCCACCATAGTGTGCTTACGGGGCGGGAGGGGGGGGGGAATTGAGATTTAAAAAGTCATACTCAAAGACTGTGATCCTAAGCACAGTTGCTCAAAGTCCCATTAAAGTAAAATGGAGAAGTGGGGATGCTGATTTCTTTGTTTTGGTGCTGTTGATGGCATAAATCTCTGAGCTCTTGTGCTTAAATATTTTCAAGGAATTTTACCAATTTAACCATCAGCAGCAGAATAGGAAAAATACAGAAATTCTATTGAATGTTTTCTCAGTGCCCTGAAATTAGTGTACATGAGGCCTTGTCCAAAGCAGTATTTTCACTTAAATATACATTATCAGGTCCAGTGTAGTATAGGTAAACTTGCACATGCTAATTGTGAGCTGTTGCTATGAATACCTCAGTTTTTATAAAAGCTGCTACTTTTGAGCAGGTATAAGTAGTATAATGTGAGTACTGTAGGGCACGGCTATTATTCGCTCTCCTCCTCCTGAGCCTTGAAGGTTCTGCCTGGCTCTGTGACTGCCTTCTTCATTGCTGTCATGTTAATGCCTTATGCCACTGTGGTGAGCAACGTGATCTCAGTTTGTCCGTACTCTCCATAAGCTTGCTAATTCAAAAGTAAAGAAACAAAGTTTGAGCAGTGGCACCTTTAAGACCAACAAAGTTTAATTCTGGGTATAAGCTTTTGTGTGCATTCTACCAACACAAAAGTAAAGAAGTTACGTTAGCATAAGTGGCAGTCCCATGGCAAAGTGAAATAATCTCACCCAGTTTCCTTTTTAGCTTCTTAGGGGTCACTGTTATATTCTGGGACCGGTTAGAGCTGGAGAAGAATAACTCAGCTCTAGTTGATATGCTTCAATATCAGTATTGATTGTGATAGTACTAGATGTGGACCTAACAAATCCTGAAGTTCTTCACAGTGTACATGATGTACTGCCAGCAGTACCCTTTTCATTGCTCTATCCTGAAGTCTATCAGTAATTCAGTATTTGTAAGTACACTGTGATGTAATGGAGTCTTACGCATATTCCATGTCATGCAAATAGGAATATGTCTGAGAGGATTAAATATGTAGTTATATCTGTGCAAATCTAATCATTTGCTGCAAAAGCACTGTCTTTAATTGATCATTCTTTTTCCTTTATAGTATCTGATAGTATGTACATTTCCAGCCTCATTTTACATTCACTGAACTCATTTCAGAATATTTTTTTATCATAATACACCAAAACTCTGTC